CCTACATCTCTCTCCTCTCCTTCTGGTATTCCTATAACTCTTATATTTCCTTTCCTCATGGAGTCAGATAGTTCCCGAAGTCTTTCTTCGTTCTTTTTCCTTCGTACTTCTCTTTCCTTTTCTGTTTTGGTTCTTTTTATTTCTGTGTCTTCAAGATTACTTATTCGTTCTTCCATTTCATCTATTCTGCTTTCATTGCTTTTCCCAGAATTCTTTAGTTCTTCCATTAATTCTTTGATCTCCTGCATTTCTTTTACTTCCCTCTTTAGGGACTCAATTTCTTTCTTCTGACCATTGTTTTCCCTCTCTAGGGACTCAATTGCATTCTTCTGATCGTTGATTATTTTTCCCTTATCATTATTTTCCTTTATGACTTCTGTCAGTTTTTTAATCACGGCAATTTTAAATTCTCTTTCTGGAAGGCTCAGAAATTCTTCCAAGTTATTGTCTTTGCAATCTGGGGGCTGGCTTTCTTTTTGTGGTGTGCTTTTTCTCTGGAGAGTTGCTAGGTTGCGTGTGGTTCTTCTCCTCCCTACTGTCTGTTTTCTAATTTGCCGTATGCGTTGGGACACTGTGTTGTTGGGACTGGCCGGCATCTTGGGTGGGCTTCTCTGTTCCCCTCTGGTTCTTCCAGGAGTCATCTGTCAGTTTCAAGCAGCCGGGCGGCCGGGGCTGTGTGCTGGGGCTGGTCTCCTCCTGGGGGGCGGGGCTCTCTTTAATGGCGCCTGGAGCTCACCTCCGCAGCGGATCCTGCAGGGTTCGCCTCAGCTCCCGTTCACGGGGTGTGGTGGCTGCAATAGTTCCTTTCCACTCACAGTCCCGCTTGCTGTGTCCGTTTTTCTTGTTGGCCGTTTTGGTTTGTTGTTTCCTCCTCTCTGCGGGTCGGAGAGTGCTGCCTCTGTGGGCGGGGGAGGGGAGCAGGGTTCTGCGCTTCCCTCCCTTCTCGTCCTCTTTTATGGCAACTTTCTTCTTCGGGCAGTTTGCTGGAGTCGTCCGTTTATCTTCCGTGTCCCAGTTCTCACTGGGACCTGCCGCTTTTCCTCCCTATTAACTTTTTTTAATGGGAGATCTTACTCGCAGCGTCTCCTCGCCGCCATGTTGCTCCGCCCACCTAGTTAATGGATTTTTTAATTCTTTGATTTACACCAGTTCTTTTTTATAGTCTCAACTCTCTGAGACTTCACATCTCTTCATACATTATATTAGTCTTTTCCTATGATTTTTCAAAAAACTTTTTATTTTGAAATTATTATAAATTCCTAGAAAGGTGCAAAGATAGAACAGAAGGGATTGTGTACCCTTCACAAATTCTTCCCACTGAAAGCATTTATATAACTCTTATATAATACCCACACCAGGAAATTGACATTAGTGTACAGTGTATATTATTCTATGAAATGATATTCCACGTGTAGATTCTCATAATCACCACTGCCATCAGGATAACAAAGTTCTTTAACTATAGCAAAGGTCTCCTTCATGCTGTCCCTTCATGGTAAGTCACTCCTATGTCTTCCTTCTTCCCGAAACCTCCAAAGCCACTATCACTAACTCCTGCTAACCACCTGTCTGTCCTCCATTTCCACAATTTTGTTATTTTAAGTACTTTCTAAATGGAATCATAGAGTATGTAGTCTTTTAAGATTGATTTTTTTACTCAGCATAATGCCTTTGAGATTTATCCAAGTGTTGCATGTATTAATAGTCACTACTTTTTATTAGGCTAGTATTTTATGGTATGAATTACCACAGTTTGTTTAACCATTTACTCATTATAGAATATTTTATTTCTGATTATATTTTCCTGATTATATTAATTATAATATACTGATTTAATTATTTAATAGATCTAATTTAGTGACTATAGTAATTTGATATATTAATTATTAATTAATGCATTACAATTAATACATTTGATATATGATTTATAATATATCAATTATAATAATTATTAATACTATACTCATATCTTAAGTCAACCTCTGAGATTTTGGCAGGTCTTTTCTGTTGAATTTTTTTCCTCTGGACAATTGACATGTTTTCTTGTTTCTTCTCATGTTTAATAAATTTTTTATTATGTGCTGGATATTTTGATGATGCAGTGTAGAGATGTGGGATGCTTTTATCTTCCCTTAAAAATGTTGGATTTGTTAGCAGGCAGTTAAATTACAAACAGATTAAATTAGAATGTGTAGAGACTTGGATCTATTTGTTGCTGGGGTAAGTCTATCTTAGTTTTCCCCTTCTCATCACTTTGGTCTCAGAACAAATGGTAATTTCTCAGAGATATTTTCCTGTTCACCTGGTCACATTTCCCTGTTGCCTCGAATCTGATTCAAATTCCCAAAGGGAAACCTTTATTTTTATGATTTACTCTGTGCTCCCCAGGTATGATTCTTTTGAACCCAGCCATTTAGAGAGTCTGGATTCAAACTCCAAACTCTGACTACCATATGGCGGATAAGAGCTGAAATCTGTTTATTTATTCCTTTCAGCTGCTTTCCCTTCTGAACTTCTTGGTATTTTATCTGTTCATTTGCTGTTCAGGGATCAGCTAAGGATTCATGAGAAGTTTATGTGCAGATTTTGAGTTTCCCTTGTGTCTTATTCTTTCTGAAATTGCCAGAAACTCTGAAAGTATCAAACTTCATACCCTGATTTATCAGACCAACAAAACTGCTTTTCCTACCCCCCCCCACCCCAAATTCTGCAGTCACACATTCCCCAGACTGGGTAAAGTGATATAAACACAAATTTCATTTTGTGTCATTTCCTTCACTTGAGGGTTGGTTCTCATCTAGTTTTTGCTTCTTAGTTACTCTTCCATGTCTTCAATCAGATGCTTAAAAAATTTTATTTGGGGTTTATAATGTTTAATCTATAGGAGAGTTAGTCTGATACAAACTACTGTCTTAACATGATTTGCATTTGAATTTTGGCAATTTTTTTTCTGTGAAAAGGGTTTGAGGAATTCCAAGTATAGCTTTCCATGGATAGTAATACGTTTTCGTCCTTTAAGTCTTTCTTTTTCTGATGATTGAGGAGTTTTTTTTATGCTTTCTCTTTGAATTAAAATAAAAATGTCAATTTACCTGATATGTTTCCTGATTTGAGATCAAATTAAGTCTTCTGTTTATGCACAAGCTTTTAAAATGAAGATCAGTTAAATGTGAATATTTTACTAATTTATTAGCCATTAACAATTCTCTGCTTCAGAGAGATATACAATTATTTATGTTGACATGATTTATCATATGAGGCTTCCCTCTTGCCTTCATTTGTCCCTTAGCACCTTAGAAAAGTTCTATGATATTCTGGTGTGGAATAAAAGCAAACATCCACAGAGTTGGTAACATTTGTTTTATAATCTTATACCAAAAACAAGTTGACTTCAGCTCGTTTGACCTTTTCATTTAATTACTCTCTCAAGAGAATACTGCTTTTCTAGTCAAATAAAAGACTTTGTTATCTCCTCTTTATCTTCCTAAATTCTTCCTATCTTTGGGTGTCTATCTAATTCACATTTTCTAAATTTTCCTACCAGAGAACCTATTTATGTATGATTATTTATGTAGGGTTTCCTACATGATATATAAATTAACCTCATTTCAACCTATGCAGAGGACCAGCCAGTAGATTTAGAAGGTAACTGAGATCAGGATGGCAATGGAAAAGATGTGACTGTGTTCTTTGCCTAGAATGGACACAGCATGGTTAGTTGATTATCATCACTTAGCTCTCAAATCAAAAAGTAATTTCTCAGAAAGATCTTCCTGATCATCTAATCAATGTTTCCTGTTCCCTAGGATTTGACCCAAATCATTCTCTTGCCCATTACTCTATTTTACTTTCTTTCACAGCACTTACTATATTCTAAAATTATCATAATTTTTGTGTGCTTATTGACTGTATTTCTACATTAGAACCTGAGCTACATGAGGGCAAGGGACTTAGTCTTTTTCACCACAGTAACTAACCCAAATGCTTAGAAAAGTGTCTAAATGAGTATTCAAATTGTTTCTGTGAGCCATCTGAAAACTGCAGTAAATATTTATTTGCTGTAAATACAGTATTTCAATGTATATAATTTTAAGTTGACTTAAGTAAAAATGGCATTGAATTGGAGGTTACAGAGGTATTTTAAAAAAATAAATTGATCATTAATTATAATTTAATTACATCTAATGATACCACAGGTAATAATATCTACCAATGGGGAAAAAAAGATAAATGTTAACAATGTTGTATATGTAATAATAATAGCTAATAGTTATGGAGTACTTAATATGTTCAAGGCATTGTTCCAAATTCCAGAATTAAGCAAAACTTATTTATCACTCATAACAACTCTGTGAGGTAGGAATGCTATACTAATCTCTATTTTGTGGGTGACAACATTGAGAACAGAGTTTAGACAAGAGTTAAACAGGTTGATTAACTGAAGCAATAAAGCATGGACATGGAAGTGGCAGAACTGGGGTTTCAAACCCAGGGAGTTTGAATTTGTCTGTGGTTGTACCCATTGTGCTAGATTACCTCATTTCTACCTGAGTAATGAGCTTATTCACTTTGTTCTCATTTATTCATCAAGCTTAACTGGCATTGTTCCTTTTCATACAGTTTTATAACTATGCAGCTTTGTTTTTTTTTTAATTTAAATAATAAATTTTATTTTTATATTCCCCCATACAATTGCAAATGCCCCATTCTGACCCCAATCCCTCCCCTCCCGCCCCACCCCCAAAAAGTGTCTCTGGTTCAACTATGCAGCTTTGTATGAAGAATAATGGACTGGGGTCATGTTCTAGGGCCAGGTATGATATTAATCTGTGTGATCTTCAACCTAACTTCTTTAATCCTCAGTTCTCAAGTAAGCACAATGAAGGGTTGTTTAAGCCTAATTAAAGATAAATTAATATTTTCTAATTTTTTTCCCGCTATGAGAGCCCTGGTGCTCATAAACATTGGAAGAAAATTGTTAGGAATATGTAATATATTACCTGGACTTTATTCATCTCCAGTTTGTTCTTCTCATTGGCATTCTGGTCTTGTTTGCCAGCTCCCTTTTTCTGAGGGCCTTTTCCAAAGAAGATGTAATTTACAAAAGCATATTCCAGCAGAGCCAGGAACACAAACACAAAGCAACCCATCAGGTAAATGTCAATTGCTTTGACATAAGGGATCTTTGGCAGTGTCTCCCTGAGGTGTGTGCTGATGGTTGTCATTGTCAGCACCGTGGTGATTCCTGTGGAGCAGAGAGACTCAGCTTAGCCAAGGGCAGTTTTCAATTTGTTCTTCTTAAGACTGAGAAGACAGATGCCATTTCCTTATTGGTACCTCAGAATTATGGCAGTGACATGACAAACCACTATGCAAAAAGGACAGGTATTTTGAAAGACAAAGCTGCAGACTCTATGTAATCTATGATCAAATGATAAAATAGTATATCCCTTTCATAGCGGGTTGAAAACCATTTAAAAATAATGCACAAAGAAAAAGTAAATAGGAAGCTAAATAAAAATCTTTTTTGATAATATCTATTGCTACAGTCATATTCCCTCTTTCTTGTACATGCCACATATTTCTTCTTCCTTTTCTCAGCATCTCCCATATCTTTCTACTAAATCTGTCCTTGTGATACTAATCCCCACAGCAAGCACTATCAAGCTCAAAGGTGGTTACTAATTTGAGGATTCATTGTACGAATCTAAATCTATAATGTACCGAGTTCACAAAGTCAGTATTGTTTTTAAATATAATAATACATCAAGAGAATAAGACAACATCAAGAGAATAAGAAATTAAGATAATTTATGACTTACATCAAGTATCTGACAGGTATTTTTTACATATACTATGGTCTTGTTGCTTTGTTGTTTTTTTCTTCAAGTATTACCTGCAATGTCTTGTTTCCAGAGACTAGAATGAATTCATTCCCTTGAGTCAGGAAAAAGGCTTCCTAAAAAGTTTAACTTTGGATTCATTAAAGAAGTTTAAGACTGAAAGCTCTTAAAAAGAAGATTCTACCTTATCTGGGCCTCCTGATGACCTAGGGGTTAAGTCTCAGCGTGGTCATTGTGACCACGCTGGCCTGAGTTCGATCTCTGGCCAGGGAGCTAACTCACATACAGTGCAGCAGACCTCTCCTGTCTCGCCCGCTATTCCCTTTAGCAGTGTATTTCAGTAAAATCACCTGCTACCCTCTCTGTCTTTGGTGAATCCTCTAACACCCCCACACCTCTGGCCAATACCCAGTTCTTCTACACAAAAATAAATAAATAAAATCTTAAAAAAAAAAAAGAAAAAAGAGGAAGACTCTGCCTTATCTACTTTGTTAACTATAACATTCTTAATAATATAATATTTGTGTGACTCTGTTATTTTGTGTTAATGACAGTGGTGGTTAGTGATGGGGATTGGAAAAATCAAGAATTTGAGAAAGGGGCCTCCCCTGGTGGCACAGCGGTTGAGCGCTGGGCTGCGAAGCTGCCCACAGCCTCTTGAGCGCCGGTTCAATCCCTGGCCGCCGGCGAGGGTCCCACATGGCGCGCAGACCTCTCCTGCCGCCCTCTGCTCCCCTCAGCAGTGTACTTCGGTCCTTCTGCCTGCTCTGCTCTCTGCTCTGGCTCTGGCGAATTCTCTCACCCTCCCGCGCTTCTGACTGTACCCAGTGCTTGTATAAATAAATAAATAAATCTTTAAAAAAAAAAAATCTCTGCTTAAAAAAAAAAGATATCAAACCATTTAAAAAAAAAAAGAAATTGAGAAAGAAGCTGGAATCCCTTGTAGTTTGTGCTGTAATGCTATTAAACATTTGTATATAGTGTCTTACAGTTTTAGACTTTACAGTTATGAATTATCTAATATGGTTGTCATAATCAGTCTGCCGAGTGATAGAACATATTATTCCCATTTTAAAGCTGAGAAAACCTCAACTCTAAGATTAGTTATTTTGATGTAGATCACCACCTAGGGCAAAAAAACAAGGAGGTGTTAAAGGCATTTAAAATAAAAGCAGAAAGCCTCCCCTGGTGGTGCAGCGGTTGAGCACTTGGCTGAGAGGTTGCCCGCAGCCGCCGGGGAGGGTCCCACAAAAATAAATAAATAAATAAATAAATAAATAAATAAATAAATAAATAAAATAAAATAAAAGCAGAGAAATCTGAAACTTGATGGAGATCCTTAAAAGGTAGATAGGAAGTATCACATGGATTTTAAAAACACAGGAAAGCTAGAAAATGGAATGGAAGCTAAATAATGAAGGCAAAAAAAAAAATCATTTGGTACTAATTTGGCAATCAGATAATACTTGATAGTTTTCCTGATTTGACTATTCAGCTTATAGGAGGACAGATAAAGTGGGAAGCCATAAAAAAAAGAGTTAAAGTCAGGGCTGAAATTGAATGTGCTGGATTAACATGGAATTGTTAGGGGAGGGACCATGTTCCCCATCCCCACCCACATGCAGCTGACTTGGAGCTAGCTACTGGGAATGAGGGCGGAGTGAGCAACCAGGTGAAGCTATAAAACACAGAAAGCAGGTGGGCTCAGAAAAGAGAGTTCTTGCTTCTGCGGCCGGGTTGCACTCTGATACTGCTGGGAAGGACACTTGGAGGAGAGACAGAGTTGTCACTGCAACAGCTGACCACGCTGGCCTGAGTTCGATCTCTGGCCAGGATTGGAAGAGACACGTGGTTGACAGACACGTGGAGAGGATGACAGTGGGAAGGATGACAAGCAGCCATTCTATTGATGAGGTATCTCCTGTTCCAACTCTCTGGGACCTGCTTCAGAATCCCTGTCCTGTGGTTCCCTGCCAGAAGGTACTTTATTTATTTATTTATTTGCATAGAAGAACTGGGGTATAGGACAGAGATATGAGTGGTGAGAGGATTCACCAGAAACAGAGTGAGCATCAGAACAGGCAGATCTACTGAGATACACTGCTGAGGGGAGCAGCAGGGAGCAGCAGAGAGCAGCTGGTGAGACAGGAGAGGTCTGCTGTGCTATATGTGGGTTTACTCCCTGGCCGGGGATCAAATTCAGGCCATAGTGGTGATAGCACTGAGACTTAGCCCCAAGACCCCCAGAAGAGGCCCACAGAAGGGACTTTAGGCTTTGCAAACCTTAAGGCCTCAATGACCCTGCTTCAGGCTGACCCTATTTGATTGTGTGTGCTTTATTTAGAATATCCTTTTTCTTCTCTCTATGCACACAGATTACATTAAAGATCTTTCACACTAAGAGCATGCCTGTCTTTACAGAGCAAGTGGCAGGATCCTGTTTTTGACCAGGCACCCCATTTTGGGGGGTCCATGGTGCCCATGGGTTGCACACACTAGCAAAATATCATCCATACTCCTATTTCTTTGAATAAAAATTTAAATTTTAGTCACCATAACGCTAGCTAATGTTTTTGGTGGAAACAAACATTTCATTTACAAATCCACAAGCTGCATTTCTGCTTCTACGTCTTGAGGATAGCAGTATAAAGAGAACCACAACTGATGAGACTGAAATCTGTGGACATCATCCAATGATTTTTTCTTCACCCATATACACATGTTCATGCTCACATTCAAATAAAACATGCAGGTACTGTGTATGATATGATAGTTATTGTTTACTTTCCTTAGTAAGTAAATGCTCAAAGGTTGATATGGGATGCCAGTATTCAACTTTTTGAGCCTATCTGTGTTCTCAGGTGATAGAAATAGGTTGTAGAGATGAAAGGGTATGCTGATCAGCTCACCTAACACAGGCTGGTAATCTTAGAAGAGAAGAGGTATATGTATCTTAGCTAACCAGAAATGATACTGTGTGTGTGTGTGTCTATGTGCATAAGTAAATAAACCTTAGAATGTGATAACTGAAATGGTTTTAGGATGGAGTAATCAGTCAGACCCACATAAGCTTAAATTCATCAAGCAGACCTTACAGATTCTAACTTCCCAGGGAACACTTTAAAGTCTCAGATATAGCCTTTCAGCTTGCAGCAATTACTCAACCACAGCAAGATTAATTCCGAGTTTAGTTCCCCCAGGAAGGAAGCCATTTTTATTCTGTCCTGGTTACAGATCATTAATATAACTGATGAATTTGCTGTGCCTTATTCAGTGCAATAAGCTCCATTTAAGGGGGACTCACATCAAAATGATTTAACTTTGGTTAATATTTGAAAGGTAGTAGTTCCCAACAATTGACATAATTTATTAATAGTCACAAGGGTTAGCTTCCTCCACATTCATTTGTGAATAATTCATTGTAAATATTCTTCATTATTATTACAAAAGAGGAACCAAAGAGGCAATCATCACAAAGTTAGCAGAAATTAGTGTAGTAAGAATTTAAAATTATACTCCATTAAGCATTTACTTGGAGTATTAAACATATTACAAGATTTTTTTTTTGTAAAATGCTAAAATGATATTATATCATAACACATTCATTCTGGTTTAGATGTGTTTATTTTCAAGCACTCTATGTAATTATCATTCTTTAATTTGTACGAGAGAAGCCCTTGCCTATAATTCCTACCATTGGTTGGTTGTTTGAAACTAAATCCCACCAGCTCTCTGCTGGGAATGCATTACCTAGTGCGACTCTGGCTGCAGATGCATCATAGTTGATCCAAAAGGACACCCAGGACAGAATTGTAATCAGAGTGGAAGGCATGTAAGTTTGCAAAATGAAGTAACCAATGTTCCTTTTCAGACGAAAACTTAGTGACAGTCGTGGATATGCCCCTGAATTTAAAAAAAAGAAAAGAAAAAGAAAAAAAATCAAATCAGATCATCATTTAGTTGTAATGATCTTCTTTATTTCACAGTGTGCTTAGTTTATGTTTAGGGAAACAACCTCACCTGTTGTGAACTCCACTTTCTTGGATACCATCTTGTAGTCGACAATTGAAAACTGAGGAAGCTCAATTTTATTAACTCCAGTTACTGCTCCCTCTCCTCCATTCCAGTAAAACTCAATGTCATCAGTGGTATAGCCATCTGAAACCAAGAAATACAGCACAGTTAAATAAAATTTAGTTGATGTAGAAATTCATTTTGCAGACAGTCTGGAAGTTGGAGAGGTAATTCTCAACATGTGATGGTAATGATGTGCTTTCAGTTAGGATGGCGTATAGATGTCATGCTGAGTGCTATGCTGCTGGGTTGTTGTGGCTGTTTTGGAAAGATGACTACCTCTGGCTTTTGTGGGCCTAATCTCTGGGATCATTCAGTGATATTTGACATTGTTGCTGCATATTTATTTTCATTGTGTCAACAACTCTGTGCTCTTTGGTTAGGCTGAGAGATGGCTGGATGTCAGGTGCCTGGGTATAGATTTTGACTGAGCATTATTTAACAGTACTGGAACAGCAACAAGAAATAATTGAGTGAGTATTTGCTAAAGGGGGAATAGAAAAGGTAAAAGAATAGAGCATGATGAAGGGCCAAATTTGTGCAGATCTATTAAATGAACAGCACATATAAAAATAAAGTTGTAGAAAATAGGCAAGCTTCTATTTATACACTTTGATTAAATTCTTGGAACTATATTAATTCTTAATAATACTTTATACCATAATACTTACAAAGGTGAGGTTTAGTTAATTTAAGTGAAACATGTAGAGGACTGTAGAATGCATAGAAAGATCTAGCCTGAAGTCTATTTTTTCCTTCCACTTCTCCCACTTGCCAGTGGTTTAGCTGGGTGATGTTCATACATAAAAGTAACTAAAATAAAAGGGACGTATGGATATATTTAAAAATCTAAAAATCATTTAAAACAGGCTATATTTGTCTTTCTATCTACTCGAGACAAAGATATTTCTCACTTCACTTTCTATTTATATTCACTTCAAATAAAAAACATCAAATCTTTTTTTCAATTAGAATTACTAGGCCTTGTGTTTCGAAGGTAACCATATAATGTAGTAGACACTATGCTGACCTACTTTTGATTAAAGCAGTGACATTATTTCAAGAGATAAAAAAGAATATATATTTAAAATTTAGAAGTTGAATGCCAAGTGCCAAAGGATAACCATCAACATGTCACTGCAAGAACTAAGAACTCTTAAGCTAGTCTTTCTTTTTCTTTTTTTTTTAGGGGAGATAAAACTGTCAACTTTATTGCTTTAACTTATTTTTAACTTCTCTTCAAAAAGCTGTTTTTGAATTTTTATTCTTAACTCATCAAACTGACAATTGTTTTATATTTGGTTCTTTTGCCATTCTAGAGGTAATTATTTATTATAATACATTTCAATTTATTCTATTATGTTTTTCTTAAAACCATCTCCTTCTAAGATCAAAAACTTGCCCTTTCTTCAAAGGGGCTATCTTCTATATACGGTAACTCATTTTATATTCTCTAATGTGAAGGCATAGGAGATATTTACTTCCAGATTTAATTCCCAGTGTCTGAGAGGCTGTGAGACCATTAAGTGGCCTTAAAATGGTCTACATGAAACTAATCGGCACTGGTTATGGCTTTGTAAGACAGTAACAGTTAACATCTCTTTGAGAATTTATTAAAAACTTTCAACTCAAGACAATGAGGTGAATTAGAGTCTGGCAGAAATATTTGCAAAAGATTCTGCAGTTAAAATAAACAAAATAAATGAATAAAATAAACAAGTCAAATCAAAATATCCAAGAAAGCTCTAAAAAATAAGGAAGGTAAGGTAGAAGTAGTCCTACCAGGTAATAAGACATGTAATAAAGCCTAAAAAATGACAGCAGTGTGATTCTAGCCTGGTATGGACAGCAAGGTCAATAGACTACAGTAGAAAATTCAGAACCAAAGTGAAACGAGAGAGGAATTTAATATATGATAGAAGCAGCACTTCAAATAATCAAGGAAGAGATAGTTTAATAAATTATAAAGAAAAAGAAAGGATACTGGAAAAACAGTTTGAAACTATAATTCATGCCACATCATATCACAAGCCCTTTCTTCTTCTTTTTGTTTTTTTTTAATTCTTTTTTTTTTTATAGAGGCATTTTATTTATTTATTTATTTGTTTGTTTTGTTTATACATGCACTGGGTACAGTCAGAAGCGCGGGAGGGTGAGAGAACTCACCAGAGCCAGAGCCGGGAGCAGAGCAGGCAGAAGGACCGAAGTACACTGCTGAGGGGAGCAGCGGGCAGCAGGAGAGGTCTGCGCACCATGTGGCACCCTCCTCTGGTGGCTGTGGAGCAGCCGGGGATCAAACTGGCGCCGCAGAGGCCGCGGGCACCTTCGCAACCCAGTGCTCAACCACTGCGCCACCGGGGAGGCCCTTTCTTTTTGTTTTAAGATAGGAACTTTTTATATTATTTTTAATTTTAATTTTTATTTTTTACATCATTGTTCATTTTTTAAACAATATTTGCTTCCCCCCACCCCCTCAGGTGTAGTTCCCAATAGAGTTTCCTTCCCCAAGGCACCCGTGCACCATCACCTCAGTCCCCTGTGCTCCTCCCTCCCTCCCTCTCATCCCTCTCCCTCCTCCTCCCCTGCAGGATGTCTCTGGTTTATAATTGTCTGTTTTTGCTTTGTTGTGTTTTGTACTGTTACTATTTTTTTACACTGATGTCTTATTTGGTTCCCCTATATTCCTGCTATAAGTGAAATCATCCAATTTTTCTCTTTTTCCTTCTGGCTTATTTCACTGAACATAATTCCTTCTAGCTCCATCCATGTTGCTGTGAATGGCATGAGTTTATCTTTTTTGATTGCTGAATAATATTCCATTTTGTATATATACACCACATCTTCTTGATCCAGTCATCTATTTTTGGGCCTTTGGGTTGTTTCCAGTTTTTACCTATTGTAAATAGTGCTACAATAAACATAGGGGTACAGGTGTTTTTTTAAATCAATGTTTTTGTGTCCTTTGGGTAGATCCCTAGTAGTGGAATCGCTGGGTCGTATGGTAGCTCCATTTTTAATAGACTGAAGAACCTCCAGACAGCTTTCCATAGTGGCTGGATCAGTTTGCACCCCCACCAGCAATATAGGAGAGTTCCTTTTTCATCACATCCTCGCCAACATTTGTTGTTGCTTGTTTTTTTGACATGTGCCATTCTCACTGGTGTAAAGTGGTAACTCAGTGTGGTTTTGATTTGCATTTCCCTGATTATAAGGGATGTTGAACATTTTTTCATATAAGGAACCCTTTCTAACTATATAATACACAATTCAGACATCACAAAAAAAAAAGACACATTTGATCACATTAACAAAATTGTGACAAACCACCCTAAGCAAATCAAAAACAAATAGAAAATCAAAAGTAACTGCAGTGTAGAATGCAGATTTTTATTGCTAATTTCTCTAATATATAAAAAAACTCCCATAAATAAAAGAACCAAAACCAGATTGCAAAATGGGAAAAGGATATGAACAATCTCAATCATAATGAGAGAAAGGCTAATGAAAATTAAAACTCTATCAAAATAGCATTTTTTGGTCTCAGAACTTGGCAAATATCCCTGAATTGATAATATATAGTATTACTGAGCATGTGGACAAGCAGAGACTCATATGTTCCTATTGAGAGTATAATGCAGTACAACCCATCTGGAATGCAATTTGGCTTTATCTATCAAAAGTATAAATGCATATACACTTTGACACAAAAAACTCCTGTTCTAGAAATTTGTTCAGTAGATTGAATTGCACAGTTGTGCAGTCTGTATACAAGATCATTCAGTATAGCATTTCTAACAGCAAAATATTTTAGCAATATAAATGTCCCTCAAAAGAGGAGCAGTTAACTAAACTAGGGCATACTTCATGTACTGCTATAGAGTTATAAAAGAAACGAGGGAGTTCTAAGATCTAATATGAACAGCTCTCCAGAGCTACTCTTAATGAAAAAAACAACACAAGAAACAAAACCCAAAGTTTAGAATAAGATTATATGCAACATGCTAATGTGTGTGAAAAATATGGGAAAAACCAAAATATACTTGTATACACACACACACACACATACATATATGAAACAAAACTCAGGAAGACTAATAACAATTATTTCCATTGGCAAGAACAAGGTAGATAAATGCTAAGTATGGGAAGAAAATTTTCACTTTTTAATATTACATTTAAATATTGGCTTATTTAATATATTCATATATACATTTTAGTATTAAAATTTGAATCATGTCAATATATTAACTAAAAATTAAATTAAAATCAAGCCCATCCTAGAGTTCTGTGCATTTTCTACATGTGAGGAATGAGGTGTCAAAAACACACCACCAGTGTGAATGGAGAAGACAGAATGGAGCTTATTCTGGAAATATTTACTAGCAGAAAGATAATGAAGTAGAAATTATGTTCCAGATTCTCATTTTCCCACAGTACAGGTCTGTCAGGGGTAGGCAGACAATGGCCAACACTGTAGTAGAACGGGGCCCTGCCTTGTAATGCTGTAGTTTTTTAGAGAATGGGGCAGATATGTGTAGTTGACTATATGATTATGTGGCAGTGACAAGTCCTGGTAGAGGAGGTGGCCTGGTCACAACGGTGCAGCCTTAAGGACTCAGCATCTGGGACCAGCCTGTGCTTCTATGGCATTAACTCAGACCTGCTAAGTCTGCTATCAGCTAGGAGAGGATATGAGCTTCCAGAACCATCCAGACCTGGCTCTCTTCAGAGCCAGTAAAATGCCTTTTTATCTACACAATATCAGATCAATTAAAAAATTCACCTCACCGCTCATGAGATAAATAATTGGGAGAAGGCTTGGAGAAATTTCTCCCACATACCTTTTATGTATCTTGACAATCAATATTCATTCAGGGGATGAATGGCCAGAGAAGTAAACTTTTTTGGAAGATAGATGGCATCAAAATGAATGTGTTGGGATCAAAACTTACTGACCCAAGATTGCTTACATGGCATACTGATTATTCTGAATTGGGAGAAGTTGGGAGACAGAAGATCCAAGAATGACATTTTGTCTGATTACCTATCTCCCCCACACCAGGACATCTCTGTGGTTGTCCTAG